TAAGGGCCACCCTAGGTAGCTCACTTGCTGTTTGAAGCAGGGCTGTATTTTTCTTTAGAAAGTTCCTTGCACAGCCTCATGTCCTTTTCTATAAATGGCATAACTGTGCTGATTAGTAATAAAAGAAGGTTCCACCACCCACACCTGCTCAGTGAAGCTCCATTCCTGCAACTCCTTCCTGCTTCTGGAAGATTTTTCTGTTAAGAGCAATTCTTAAATTAGTTAGTAAATCAGTACATCAAGATAAACTAGAATTTTTCTGGACCTCTCCAGAATTGCATTGCTCTGTCACAAGTCTGACCTTCCCTTTCTGGAAAAGCTCAGAAACCAAAGACCTTGGGAAACAGCTTACATAAGAAGTCCCTTGTATCTTCCCCGAAATAAAATGCATTTTCCTCTTGTACGTGAGAATGACCTTGGCCACAAGGAATCACCCTTTTGACAGCTCACACAGATTTAGAGGCTTCTGAGCTTAGCCCATGGGTGCTCCTTTAGCCTCACAGCACAAATCTTCAAGTTATTTTATACAAATGCTCTTCCCTGAAGATGTGTGGAAGCAGTAGGCTTAGGTGCCTGAGCACAGATTGGGCTGGAAATGTATTTTCCTCTCATGTTCATATAACCAGTAATTCACCAGCCAGCCTGTCCCAGCTCTCAGTCTCAGCATTGTAGAGAAGCTTGTGTTTTATCCCTGGTTTACACATGGAGCTGTACCCTCATTTGGCAATGATCAGGCTGGCTCCTTAACCTGAGTGCTGATTTACACCTGTTGAGGGTTTGATTGCTGCTGTGCAACAGGAGCTTGCAATAATAAACCCAGCTACAAGCAAAAGATGAAAACTCCATTGAGGATCATATTGTAAAGGACCATTTTCCTTTTGACCGAATTTTTTCAATGCACAGATTGATGTTTTGAGGTTAGACTTGCAGGATAAGATATTCTTGGGAGTGTTTGGAATATGCAAAATATACAATGGTTTAACAAAATTATTTTACACAATGAGTCAAAGGGGGCTCACGTGCCTTTGTCTGTCTTTGAATGTGGGGAAAAAACCCAACATTCTTCTAAATGCAATTAAAATAACTATTGTATTAAATAACTATGAAATATTAAGTGCATATTGAAGGGGGTAAAGAAATGGGAGCCACAATGAGGCTCTTTACATATTCCTGTTGCAATTTCGCTGTAGAGCAGGTCAGTAAAATCAGATTCAGGTCCCCACATGTGAATGAAGGACTGGAATAGTAACCTGAATTTAGGAAGGGAGGTTGTGGAAAGACTGATGATGCCTTGTGAAGGCTGACCTAGAACAGAGACTAGACAGAGCTAAAGAACAAGGTAGGTATTTATTAAAAGGCTTCAATGAATACACCTTGGGCAGCACAAGAGCCCAGCCAGGGCCACACCCAAGATGTGGGGACATAAGCTGCAAGATGAACCCAAAATAGTCACAAAATGGATGACCAGCCATGGGATCTCACACTTTTATAAGTTCTGGTCCATTTGCATATTGCAGTTAATTGTCCAACTATAGCCTTTGCTTATGAAGTCCCATCTTTGTTTTTCTCTCTTCAGTCCACTGTTTATGCTCTCAGGCCTGAAATTTGGATAATTTCTCCTTGGTCCCCAGCTAGAGAAGGAATTGTTTTGACTACCTACTGTGTGAAGAGAGCTTACTATCCCCTAATACGAAGCTCAGAACTAGACACTAAAGAAGTACAGAATCTGAAAAATATAAAAGGCAAAACCTGAGGCATCACTGAGGATGTCACTTCTCTGATGCATGGGGGTTATGAGCTCCACAGATTCAGTGTGGAGTTGCACTCTGTGCACTCCATCACTCGCAGGCAAACGGGTGCTTGGGGAGGCACAGCACAGCCACTCTCCATTTGTGGAGCTGGTGTGCCAGCACTGTCCTGTCTGCTGATCTAGGAATGGCAGAAACTTCCGTCCTTGGGCCTACAGGTACAGATCTCACAGTGCCAGACTTCAAGAAGAGATGCAAACTTACTGTACAGGAGGAATCCTCTCATGGGTACCAGTCCAAGGAAGAGCAGTATGGATGAACAGACAAGCCTGCAGTTTTGCAGGCAGGTTGATTAGATGGCACTGGCTGAAAACAAAGGCACACAGCCACTGAGGAAGGCACTTGGCAGCATGAGACAGACTGCAAAGAAGCTCAGAACAGGAAGCTAAACATGAGCAAAAATAGAGAATTTAATGTGGAAACAGGAAGTTCAGGATGAAGCTAAGCCAAATGCCTGATTTGATATTGAAATATTCTGCAAATTTTTATGCAAAGTCTTGGAATTCAATCTGATTTCCAAATGTCATAATTTTATATGAAAATACTTAAAAAAAAAAAATAAAGACATTGCTTAGTCTGTTTCCATTCATTCCTGTAATTCCCTTTGCCAGCTGAAAGACACAAGTGTCAACAAACCCCTGGTTAGCTCAGTTCCTGCCCTTGGGCAGGCAGGAGTGGTAATTTGTCACTTCTGCCTGTCATCTCAACCTGACCTGCCCTCTCTCTCCTCACTGTTGGACTTGAGAGGGGAAGGTTTGCTCTGCTTCCAGCAAATCACTCAGCAGCCTCAGCTCCAAGAAGGTTAAACACGGTCTGGTCTTGATTATAATCCATCCTTTCCCTATACATTCCCCTCTCCAGGCAGCTGTGCTGATCCTGGATGAACACCTTGCTATTCTAGGCCTGACCAGCAGGCCCTGAATTAGTGCTTTTAACACTGTATTTCTTCTGCTTCCACCTCTGGAACAGCTCACAGTGGGGAAGGACATTCTGTTCTGGGGGCAGCCTGAGTGCTGGCAGCAGCTTTCACTAGTTCTGACAGCATTGGCCACTTGTGCCAAACCAGAAGATCTCCACTCAGGCCTTACTAATCACAAGACTGGCAGACCAGCCAAGAAAAGTGTGTGTTCATAGCTCCAGGGGCTGGGTTCTTTCAAATATTCTTAGAGAATCCACCTGTGGTTCATGGAATCTCACCTAACCAGTGCCCTGTCTGTCTCCTCCTTCAGCTCCTCTGCAGGCAACATCCAAGCTAAATGTCATTAACCATGATTCTTTCCTGCTGGAATATTGAGCTGCAATCACACTGGTTAAAAATTTTACATTTCTTTAATTCTGTTTTTGTGCAGCGCAGCCTTACAACTCTACACTGATGTATTTCAGTGGGCAACCTGCTTTTATACAGATGCTGTAATGTCTCTCCTAGAGAGTTAATCATAATGTAAAGCTCATCAACATATGTCAAAGCCATCAGAAGATCCACGTGACACACGAAACATTTAGAAATAATTGCCATAAGATTTTTTTCGTCTCTCCTTATTCAGCTGTTTTCTAGGGAAAAAAACCCTCACAACTTAAACCTGTATGGCTTTTGGGTTTGTGAATGTTTTCCTTTGTGGTTATGGGTTTTATTTATGAGGTGCCATGTGAGACAAAAGTCATCCCAGGCTCATACTTTACTAGTTCAGTAAATTTTCCATACTTTAATGATCAAGCTGCATACTTTACTTGTTACTTTTTAATATACTTCAGTGATCAAATTGTATAGCATAATGATCAGTTTTCCTAATGTGCCTGAATGATTTGCATACCTCATTAATTTACATACATATTTTACGGGCTAAAATTGGAGAGTTTGGATGAAGTGAATAATTTAACAAGCAGCCTTTTCTCACAACCTGCACAGGAGCCCAGGAATACATGTGAACCAGGGTGGGATGAAATTGTAAAGGTGTGGGTGAGAAATGTTGAACTCAAAATAAAAACAAAAGATTTCAGAGCACCTGGAAAGCTGAGCCAGCACAGCAAACCTGGTTTGTATTTGCTTTGTCTTTTCAAAAGTGCTCCCTTATGGACTAATTTTGGATTTTAATGATGGATTTATCCGTTCTGCCACTACCATATCCCAACAAGCTGTTCAAGGTGAACACTCAGTATTTTAAAAAAGCAGTTCAAGCTGCAGCCTTGTCATGGACCAAGTACCTCTTAAAAGATGTGGAGGCACTTTGTTTTATTGCTTAGTTGAGATGCAAAGTATTGGGGGACTGTTAAAAGAGACCTCATGTAAAAACACACAGCCCTGTAGAGTTTGACCCCATGGATTGTGCAGCCTGGGGAGTTATTAAGGATGCTTAACACCTCCTTGGAGGAGGAGAAGACATCACAGCCAACCCTGCCCTAACAAAAGCAGATGCTGGTTCTAAAGGTAGCCCGAGAGCTTGCTGGTGGGTCAATATTACAGCACAAAAATAATTTCTTTCAATAATTATACAGGCACATTACAGTTTATACCAGTGGTCTTTCTATTGATATGACTCAGTTGAAACCTACTGAATTTATTCCAGCATAAAAGCAAGAAAGGGGAAATGTGGCATTTACAAACCTTTAGAAAGTATCCCACTATTCCATACCTGAGAACCTATTTGTTAAGATTGCGTTTAATTTCAATGAGATGAAAGCATAAATATTTTTAAGTCCCCAGCTATTTTTTAAATAACTATTATTATGGATAAAGTAACAGTTGCACTACTATAAATATTAATGCTGTATTTACAGAGAATAAAATACATTTAAGCAACCTTATAAAATTTTTAATAAAGCTACACTTACAATAAGCACTTTGGTAAAACAGCCTATTGCCAACTGACACACAAAGTCTCTAACCAGCTACAAATGCCTGTAAAACATTACAAACATTTAGAAACACACTGCAAACTTTTGGAGCTGTTTATTGATTTTCCTTTATTTGAAACCTGTAGTCCTTCCTCTTGTTTCTCTTGTGCATAACTCAGGCCCTGTAATTTTGATAGCTGACAGACTTTGACTCGGGATTTGGAGAGGCTGAGGCAGGTCTCGCTGGTTTTCCAGCTTCTTCCTTATGACAGAAGGTTTAATCTCTGTATAGCTCTGTTTAGCACAACATTCCAGGATTGCCATGGCAATAGAGATGTACAGTTTGCCATTGGATGATAATTTTTTTTTCATTTTACTTGTGGTTCGAGCATGTACTTTCAAAAATGAAACATGGTTTATTTCTTAGGACATAACCTGCAAGTTAGTACTCTTTTCTAGTAACCAGCTTTCACATCCTTAGCCAGGTTCAGAAATTAGCTGTAAAGAAATCATTTGGACTCCTGAACGCTCAGATCTACTCACACCTGCTTCCTGCTGGAAAAGGCAGACTGAGAGGTGTTGCTGCAGGCCTCTAGCTGGGTAACAATTAGCATCGACTCCATGATTCTCCAAAGGCTGATCAATCACTTTATTACACTACACTTATTAAGAAACCCATTGCCCTTACAGACAGCCACAATACAGGTGGACCCAATTGTTCCATCAATCTAAACACCATCACCACTGGCCAATTCAGAAACCACCCTTTGGTGCGGCAGATCTCCTTAACACATTCCACATGTTCACAACAACAGGTGCAGCAAGTGAAGATAACAATTGTTTGTCATTCTTTTCTCTGATCTTCTCACAGCCTTTTCCAGGACAGTGCCTGGGGAAGTTGTGCATTGCTTTCTGTGGTCAGAGAGCTGCTGCTACAGAGAGGGGAGAAGACAGAAGAAAGGACAGTGAAAATTAGCAGCACACAGACTTCTTTGGTTTACACTTTTAATAATGTTCCTCCTATTTGCAAACATGGTAAGGATGGCTGCACTGACAGGACATGATTATGAACTGAGTGATCTGCTCCTGCAATCTGCACCAAGTGAGACACTCTTGGCACTGACCTCTGCAGAGAAACAGCAAATCTGGTTTAATCTGAGTTGCTGTAACTCTCATATTCAGTACATCAAAAGACCCTGTCCATAACTACAGCCAAGATTTTCTCTGTACTTGATTAATCTCTGTATTTGACCTTCCTCCTACACCTACTCTGCTATTCTAGTTTGGCACCAAGAACCTGGTGAGATTCCCACTCCATTCATTTTTCTGTATGCTCCTTCCAGTCCATCAGGGATCATTTGACATACTTGGACAGTCCATATCCTGAATCACCCACATGAAGCAATTGGGCTGCATCCATGGTCATGCTTCCAGCTTGCTACATGTCCAAACCAAAATCTAAGTGAGTGTACAAGTTAACTTATTAGAGCAGTTTGAAAGAGGGTAAGGAATTTGTGGAGTTAAATAGAAGCCAACAGAAATATGTGTGACTTTTTGAAAATATGTGAATCACATGCTTACTCAGTCATTGCTAACACATCCAATCCTATCTTTTAAAGAAATGTATTATAGCTTGGTGGCTCTTCTGATGTCTGAGGCAGTTTATATTTCCCAGAATACTTCCCAGTGTACTGTGAAATACTCACAAAAGCTGGGGTTCTTGAGAAGGTGCCTGAACTGTTTGTCTCATCATTTAAAGGGGAAATGGCCAAGTACTTGATGAAATTTCAGTTCTTACTTACTCCACTGTTATCTTTCTCCAACAGAGAAAATGCCTGAGAAGCAAGAATTCTAATTATTTAAGCATACCTAGACATTCCAGAAGAGCAGTCTTTTTTAGTAGCCATTTAGCAGTTCACATAGAAACACCTGAGATCCATATGCCTTTTAATTGCAGGTGGTTTTTAATGAAGAAACAAATCACATTTCTCAGAACCACATTTAATTTGAAGCATGCTTTTATTTTAAAAATAAGTTGCAATTGTTGAAATGAGCCAAAAATAGTTTGCGGTTCTGTGATGTGTATATGTAAGTACAAAACAAACAACAACCTGCTAAAAGGCATTATAGCAAATATCCAAACATTCCAGAAAAGGTAGTGGTTAAGACAAAAGATGAAGCAAACAAAAATATCAGAGGGCTTCCTTAAATAATTTGCATTAAAATATTTTTAATTAAACTCACCTGAGTATATTCAATTTGCCTTTTGTCACTCCTACCATGACTGTTGGTGAGGCAAGTTCATTTTCTGCTCTATAAAGGACTCAATAGCCTTTCATCCTCATTAACTTCAGGTCATCCTGAAGGCTTACTTTCTTCTCATCCTCCCTTGCACAAAATTCCCAGCCTATTCCTTGTGGGAGTTTTCCATAGGTTTCCCAGGGGAAACTGTTTAGGGAAGAGTTGCAGCAGCAGCAATTTGGAGACAGCAGTTCAAGAGAGTGGCAGAAATACCAGAGTCTAGAAAAGCTGTGGGTCAGTTTGTTGTGATCAAAGTTGTGGCAATGTGACCCCAATAAGTTTGGAACAAACATTCCAGGAGCCTCTGGATAGTGTGAAAAGAGATTTCTGTAAAGCAGCAGCACCTCTGTGGAACTCTTCTTTGGATTCTACTTCCAGGGACATCACTAGCAGCGTGTTTGCTGGGAGCTGTGTTATCCTTGACTGCACAGATGAGGTTTCAGAAATGAAGCCATTGATAATCCACCAATTGGTGACAGGAGGTTTCCATCCCCATTATCCTCTCAGGGACTGTTCCTTTTCCCTCTCCTGTGCAGGCAGCAGGTCCCCTGTGGCCACACACAGCTGGCCAGGCTTTTACAACATCGATGCTCCTTGCCTCAGGTCACAGGGCCAGAAGAAAAGGGCTGCTTTTGACCAAGGCAGAAGGCAGGACCACACTGCTGGGGATACAGGATCCGCCTCTAAAAGCACGAGCTTAAACTGGGCCTGAAACTGCAGGTGCAGATGACACAGCTCTAGAGTTCTTTGTGATGGCAGGGTTTTCTTCAAGGTTTTTTTGATTGTTCTTTCCCATGCTTGATAACAATCTTGCTGTGGCAGGAAGAGCTATTTCCTCTAGAGGATGCTGCATTTCAGTAGGCTGCAACACAATGGTCTAAGACTACTTAGCATACAGCTTTTTTTTTTTTTTTTTTCATTCAGAGCTTTCCAAATTCTAGGGAGAAGTGGTTATTTTTATTGTTCTCATTTTACAGGTGGAGAAACCAGGGAACATGCTGCTTGACAGCTAATGCCTCTTATCTGTCTGTCTCAGAATCAGAAGTGGCCCAGAGCATAAATGCAGATACTTGCAGAGCCCCAGGTGACAGGTGATAACTTCTGCAACCACTATAATGTGCTCACATCTGATCAGATGTCTTTATCCTCAGTTGCTACATGCTTCTTTTGCCTGATAAAACCGTAATGCCTGCCTGCAGTAGCACATTATATCTAGTTATAACAAATCTCAGCTTAGAAAAATCAACAGAGCTGTTTGGGAGATGGGATATTTACAGGCTTGGGACACAATTTACAGACAACTGGAGGAGGAAAGGGTTTAGGGGATTTTTGGGGAGAGAGGGAGGCCCTGATAATCTGCTTTTTGCTTTTTCCCTTCCAAATCTTACTGTCACAAAACCTCTAGGCTTGATTTGATATGTTTGCTTTGTGGAATTATCTGAATACAATAAATTAAGAATCCTGATGTTGTCAGAAGGTGATATTTCTACATAGGCCAAGGTTGTTGGTAGCACTCAATAGCAGAAAAGTTTTGAAGCCTTTGTGGTAGTACCCAGCCAGGCAGAAAAAAATAGACATTAAGTAAGATGAAACTTACCTTATACAACAAATCCTAAGATGATGTAACTGTTTCCTTTATCTTTATTAGGGTTTGTTGTACGCTGAGCTCTGCAAAGCTTGCAGGTGGTACAGCCTGCTTTTGTTTCTGCTGGTATTCAGATGCTCTGCCATCCTCAATTGCTCTCAGGAAATCAAAATAAGAGAGCTTGCTGTCATGAATGCTGATTCCTAAGCTAAGGGAAAAACACAGAATGAGATATCCATGATTTTAAATCATTATCTCATGTTGTCTGAACTGATTAATTATTTTGATGTATTATTTGTACTGCAGCAGCACTTCAGGATATGCTTGTGGTGTCCGTGTATATATCTTGTTAGTTCCAGCCCAAGCTTTTTATCAAGTCTAAGATACCCCTCCTGTCATTTAAATTCAACCACAGTCTCAGATGCAGATCCAGGCCAATCTCCAGGGGCTCAGGAGGAGACCTGCTTTAGCCTGGGCCCAAGAGCAAAACCTTCCTGTCCATCAGCAATAACTCCTTGCTTTTTAAAAGCAGCACACTCTTTGGATCCCCATTTACTGGTGGGCTCACCATCCCGAATGTGGCTGGAGGACATGCAGTTTCCCAGCTTTGTCTGCAGAATTCTCCTTCACATCACAGTGCAAGCACAATCTAACAGACTCTGTTCAGGAATGGACGTTCTTGGTGCCAACTGCTGCTACTGGCCCTTGCCTTTCAGCTTTACAAAAACACCTGTGACTTGCAGATGCTCCAGTGTTGCTTGACCCTCCTAAATGCTGGGATCATTCTGAGAGGAAGCAGCAGAACCTCAGGCAGCCTTGCAAGCTGCAGCACCTTTCTGTGCTTGGCGTTGTGGACATGGCAACACAGATCTATACTCACAATTTCTCTACCACATGGGAAGTAACCAAGCTCTATTCCATACATCGCTTCTGCCTATGGTTATGGCAAAGGGCTTAACTTCTTTCTCAACCTGCACTTCACTTGGCATGGCTTGGCAGGCCACTAGAGAATTATTTAACACTTTCTTGGCAGGGCTTAGACCCATTGTCTCAGGCACAGGCCCTGCCCTCTTTGGGGTGCCCAGTGAGCTGCACAGAGGGCTGGTACATTTGGCCCCACTGCTGGTGCCTTGTGGTTGGAAGTGTCCAGGAAGGGTTCCTTTCCACTTCACTTGTGGCCAGCACATACTTGGAAGCCCATCCCATACCAGGGAGCCCATCCCTTACATGGGAGCCCATCCC